AGCCAAATCTAAGAATTTTTCGTTTAAATTAGTGACTAACAAGTTTTGTAGATGCACAGGTTTGAATGGATATTTTTGTAGCTGGCACAATAATAGCAAGAACATTTTCAAAAATAAAGTAAACACCTAATCTAAATCTAATATAAAAAATCATAGTAATCGGCACGATAGTAGTATTCTAGTCTGTAAAAACTTTAATATAGCAACTTTTTCCAAAGATCTTTAATCTGGACTCAGGTTTTTGTTTCAACGTTGCGGTTTTGAGAAACCATCATCAGTACATTTACAAATTTCTTTTTTCTTATTTACACTGTATTAACTGGTATAATGAACAGAAAGGGCTTTAATTTAAAGTACTTACATCAATATTACGAAAATATAAGGAAAGTGTTTGTTGCAGAGAAAATGAAACTGATTTCTCGGAATCACACTAAAAATTTGAGTCTTTAGAGGAATTGTTTGTAAAGAATTGCTGCAATCATGTTTTTACAAATTTAAAAAATTCGTAACAACAAAAAAGTTACAGCCCTTTTTTGCATTGCTCGGTATATAAAAATAATAGCAATGAATAAAAACAAAACTATTATATAAAAAGAGACCTGTTTTCATAGATTTTTCTTCTGAAACAACTATTTTATTGTCAATTTGTAACAAAATGCACACAACGTAAGCAGTTATTAAAGGATGAATCGAGTTTTTGTCATTTGATATCCTCAATAGTTAAAACTAGCAGTAACTAGACCCGAAAAGAAAAAAATATGTATGTATCCAATATGTCTTGTTAATGTAAAGGATTCTAACACATGCAATTGCAAAACAAAGGTAATCGTGTAATAATTGCCACTTGAAGGCCAGCGTCAAATAAGGTGTTGTATCAAACACGAGAAGGCTGTCATCCTACACGAAATTCTGTTCAAAGACCACTCGATGGTTATGTTTGGAGTAGCAGAAGTGCTGCACTGTAATGGGTTAATTGCTTTTATTATGTGAAAACGGCACTTGAATTTGTGTTTGTAGGGAAGTGTGAAATATGTGGGAGGGATATTCAATAAGTCAATATGCATTCGTGTTAAAACGTCTTAAAATCAGAAAATAAAATTACCTAAGTACTCATTTAAGATGTTCATACGCCTACTAAACGTGATTTGCAATTGCTAACACAACGATTCTTCAGGATATTAAACGCATACCTAGGTAGGTATTTACCGGTTGTTTATTAGAAAGTTTTTTCTTTTTCCTTGTTCAATAAATCGCTGTAAAATATTTTATTTAACAATTTCACACGCAGAGATTTATGAAAAAAGTAAAAGGCTAAAAAGTGAGGTGAATTAGTTACACCTATCGGAACCGTTTTGTTGTCCCCATGAAAAATGTGGTTAGAACAATTTATTGCTAGCCAACAATTACTTCAATCGCAATAAGAATAAGGCAAATTCTCTATTAGATACATTTATTGGTGTCACTGCAGTTAATTTTTAAATTCTCATATAGAAAGAATTATGAATCGTGAGATGAGAAAATTTGAAATCTAATAGAAAACAAAAGAGAAATCGCTCTTTATTGTGTTGCACATTTATATTTAGAAAAATAAATGACACAACTGCGTTGTTATATACTTATAACAATGATAGTACTTTCGTTCTCTGCAAGTATTTTAATTTAATATTGTGTAATAATAGTAACAGTCATGATAGGAGAATTAAAAAAAATATTCTCATTTGGCTGATTTTAACGAATCATCGTCTTCATGACGTACCAAAATCCTGTTGAAAGTAACTTCTGTTACAGTCAATGGATGGAACTCTGTAGAATATCAAGTTTCCGTCTCCGGAAATCATGGAAAATATGAATTAAAAACGTTCCCCAAGTTGTGAAGAACTGATGTCAGTTAATATTTAATCTGATCTAGGAGTGTAGATATTGCTTTTCTTATCTGCTGTTTTGGATCGTATATGAAAAAGATTGGAATGGAGGAGCACTATTGACTAATTCGCACATAAAACGGTTGTTTCAAGAGAAGAAATCACAATGGTTTAAAGGAACCAGAGTTCTGGGAGGAGCCCTACAGATTGCAGATATAATTGAAACTACCTAAGTTTTACAATTTACCCAAAATTCACATTTAGATTCGATCAGCAAAGTGACATATATTTAAGAGTTACGTACGAATGAATTGTAACTATATTTAGGTATACACTTTTTGTTTCTAGACACATTATTATAAAAGTGCCTATATATTAAGCCTAAACCATATTTCTTTTCAATAGCAACATTGTTTTAGATGTTATAACATCTAAAGAAAAGAAATGCATAGAAAACATATTAGACAAACAAAATATTTGGAACGGCTTTTTAAATTGCCATAATATGACACTATACACCATTTTGTGAAGGACAATAATTAACGGACAGTAGATTCCTTGTTTCTAAATTCAAAACAGATATTCATTTATTCATCATTAAGATAATAGGGTATTGTGATGAATTAAATGGGTTTTACATTTAAGAATTTTTGACTCAATAATAATAATTGTTCAAGAAATTGGTCACTTAACTGTCACAGCTCGCTATTCCTGCTTGTGGTCAAACTGAAGGCCATACAGATTTATAATAAACTGCCTAAAATTGGTACTAAATATTGGATAAATATTGTCACCAACTTCTTGAAGTTATAGGAAATTCACTACAATTTGTATATTACATATTGTATATACTCACAGAACATTCTACTATTCTATTTGTTAATTTCGTACTTAGAAAGAAATTATATGTACCAAAATTTTAATAAATTTTCTTGCAATCTTAAAGCAATGTCTAACAATAAGGGAGAAGGAGAAGTCCAAAAGAATCTGCCAAAAGTTCAATGGGAGATTAAAGATGATTATGATCACAGGTGACAGGTTGCTTCCGAGGGCCGATTAGACTCGAAGAAAGCAAGTCGTCTAACGGCATAATCATCCTAGTATAGGGTAAAAATGCGGGCGATGATATTTAGGTCCGCTTATTTCATCCTAGAGTGATGTGACGTTGTTTTCCTATTCCGTTTCCTAGTAATAAATATCAAAAATAACGAATATTGTTAGCATGCTCTTTTTGTCATATCTTCCTTATTATGAGATATAAATCTGTCAAAGCTTATACATTCTGTCAAAAAAGGATCTAGAATTTGTCATTTAAAACACGTTGACTGCGGTACATACCTCGGGGGGTATGTTCCTACTCATTATAAAAAATATGCGAATCTCAATAATCACATTTTTACTGTATCTTGTAGAAGTTGCAGAATCTGTAGTTTTTGGCCGATTTCAAAGAATCAAATAGCTTTTGAATGAGGCTTCCAATTTTTATATATTAGCCTTGCTGTCAATATGCATATCCCGGGGGATATATATCGCATAGAAGTAATATAATATAACTAATATGCGGCACATCCTGGGATATGTATTTATTCGATAGTGAGCAATATCACGAACTACCGAAGGGAGGTGTTGTTGTTGCACGGAGGTTATGTTCGATTCTTTATATGAAGTGTTCCTTATTTCTAGTTTATTGTGTCCAGTTATCAAAAAAAAAAAATCGTACAAAATAATACTCAAACCAGAAATAATGATTTTTCTATTTTTTTCTATTCAAATCTCTTTGCGAATGAAAACGTTAGCATCCTAAGATATATAGTTACAGATACATGTAAGTTTATAGCAATAATTGTGTTATTTTTCATTTTATAGAGGGTCAAATGTAAAAAAATTACATATCCCCAGGGATATGATGAAACGCATCATAACGGGTGATGGGACATGATTATATGAGTTTGACATGTAAACCAAACCAAAAAAAAAAAAATTCAAAAATCAAAGTCATGTAGACCGTTTTATTTGACTATCGTGATATTGTCCATACAGAATTGAATTCCTTCCGGATGGAGACACAGTCAACAAAGAATATTATTAAAAATGTTATGAGGCATTTGAGATAGAGTATACGTCGTAAAAGAGTATATTTATGGAAGGTCAATTGTTGGATTTTGGATCACACAGAGCGACGACTGTAAATGAATTTTTGACCATAAACTCAACGAATGTCATCGAGCAGCCACCGTATTCGACGGATATGGCAACTGCTGACTTTTTTCCTCATTTCTAAACTCAAATTGTGGGATACGTTTCGCGTCGATAGAAGCCATAAAATAAAAATTCCTGAAGAAGTTAAGTTGAAGTCCATACCGGAATAAGCGTTTAAAAAGTGCTTTGGCGACTGGGTTGTTGGTTATTCGTTGGAAAAAGTATATTGTTTCAAATAGAGCCTATGTTCAAAGAGACAAAATACATTTTGATGATTAATTGAATATACCTGTTGTGATTAACTGGCAAATTCCGGATACCTTTTTGACAGAATGTATTATTGTAATTCTAGGAAAGCGTTCTATCAAAAAATATGAAAATTTAGAGGGAATTCAATTGATTGTAAACCCAGGTTTAATATATTTGCAATGCAACACTCAAATGTTTTTTTTTGCACACGTAATACAGAAATTGTTGTCTACTAATATTAATTTTTCGATCATATCATTGGGTAAAACATTTGTAGATGTAAAAACGGTTTTAAATCATAGTACCTATTTCCACATACAATTTAGTTTGTTAGGGTTAGATAATATATCGAGAAAGAACAAATATAATTTTCTTAATATAAGGATAAATCCAACAATAACGATTGAACAGTAACGATGGCGATAATTAAAAATAAATTTCAGTTTATCCCTCAGTAATACTACATTTCTAACACCACCAGAGCAAAAAGATTATCATTTCTTAATATGTTTGCTAAATATATTTATGTTACTTGCTATTTTTATTAGATCAAGAAGATAGTAGTAATAACGTAGTGAATGTTAAAGTCTGTCATTTTACGTACAATGCTCATCTTTATTATAACTTTATATGCATGTTACAAAATAAGGAGGAAGTTATTTATTTCTTACTAAAAAGAATGTTACTCACCAGGTAATGAAAAATTATTATGATCCACAGCCTGTAGTATAAGTGTGAAGGACCTCTGAAACAGAAATAAAAAACAATGTACTTTATTTCCAACATTATTCCAAAACACATTTGCTTAATTAAAATAATTTCACAGAATTCTGTGACATAAAGCCGCAACGTGGTATAAAAACAAGGTCTCACTCAGTGAGATCGTATTAAAACGCTTAAAATACATTAATAGTGATAGATTTAAAGCACATATTTTCAAGTGTCAGTAAATGTAGTCTTCAGTAAAAATTTCTGATAGGAAAAATTGGTGCCTTAACTTTTGAATCAATGATATATTTAAAATATCAAATTTACAGTATTTAATGTTAAAAACATGATGTAGAACATGTAATCTAAAATATACTATGTTCTGTTCAGTATTACAGTAGATATAACTGAAAAAACACACATGTGAAATAGAAATTGTAGAACACAAAGATTTCAAGATATAAAATATACACTAAACAGAGTGTCCCAAGTTATGAGTGTTCAGGCCATTAATACAGTAAGTACAAAACAAATGAAAGATATTTTTTTAAAACAGATCCTAAGAAATATTTAGAAACTATACCTTATTTAGGTAGTTATGAATTTTTAAGTGCCGATTGAAAAAGGATATTAGCAATTTTTTTATTTGAAATCTAAAAAAACTTCATAGACAATCCTTAAAATAATAGAATAAAATAAAGTCTATGTTATAGATTTAAGTCAATTAAGTAAGTTATTCGATACTTACTACCTGGATACTAAAGGAACAACTCATTTTAAGTAAGCTTTATATTGATATAATTACAAGAAAAACTAGCTGCTAAAGCTATGAATTTACGAAGTACACTATTTACCACTTTTGATGAATTTCATCAATTACGCTTAAGCCGACGGCACACCGAAACTTGTGCTCATACATTATTATCACCAAGAGTTAAGCGAAACTAACAAACTGTTTTGCTCGCACAAAATTACTTCCCTTCGTGCTGTGTTGTGCGTACATCTGAGGAAATAGGTGAATTTATAGAAATTGTTCTAATCTTTGCCGAAAAGGTATATAAAAATCAAGACCTTTGGGAAAACATTTGGGGCATTACAAAAAAATGCAATACGAAAGACGGTAAGTGTTATTAATCCTTTATTTTTAACATAAACAATGCATGCTAATAACCAGCAACTACATAGTATTGTCACAATAAAAGCTTCTGATGTTAATGTTAATCCTATGTGGGTCGATGGTAGGTTAATTCTTTTCCAATATGTCTTTATTTATAGACGTGTTGTCAACTCGACACCAAGATAATTGTGAAGAACAGAATACACGCTTTTATTAAATTCTTCACAATAAACATTTCTACATAATCAAGGCACAGCAATTGATCTGTGGTCATGCCACAGCGTTCTTGGACATGGTACAGTATGGCGTGGTATAGCACAGCTTGCGTTGTAGGGCCGGCTTTACTGGCAATGATATACACAGATGATAAATGCTAATCGTATATTAGCTTAGAATTGATCTTGATAATACCATGGGAGTAATCGTATAAGAATAACAAGTTAACAGAACTTGGTAGAACTTTTACCGAAACGTTTCAATTGATGAACCAAATTTATGGCGAAGATTGTTTATCCCGTGCCATACGCGGGCATAGATGATGAGCAACATGTTGGTCAACCGAAATCCATGATTACCGCAGATTCCATCAAATACGTGCGTGAATTCATCAAAGATCTTACTACTACTTACTACTTACTTACTTACTATACTACCGAAAAGTGTGTACGCCATTTGTTCCACACAAGTTGATTAACAATTAAAAATTGCTCAGAATTCAACATTCGAATGGCATCATCAAGGAGGCAAGAAAGGACAAAAACTTGCATAGTGGCTGGTGATGAAACGTGGCGTTTTCAATAGAATATTGCACAGAAGGCATTTGTTGTTGTTGTTGTTTTTTTGTCTAAATATCGCATTTTAGCTGTCAATCGCTCCCTGTATTCGCCTAATTTGGCACCGCGTAATTTTTACCTTTTCGGAAAAATATATTTGCCGTTGAAAAGAAAGAATTTTGTTTGTTTATAATACTTATATTCTAATGTACTGATAATATTACACCAATAGCCAACATATAAAAATATCTATTGAAAATAACTAATTAATCCTAGAAGGTTCAAATGACTTTAATCTCTTCCATGAAAAAAAAAACAGAAATGCAATTAAGGTAGACAATACTGTATTGCTGATTTTACGAATATCGTCGTAACTTTTGACAAAGTTATATCTAAATAGGAGCAGTTCAAATTTATTCCACAGGTTTCCTGTTCCCGGACGCCTCTGAATAACGACAGGCGCTAGAGTACGTGCAGAAATCACAAAGAAATCGTCTGCTGTTCTCAGGCACGGATATTATCCGTTAAATTGAATACATTCCTGCACGAAGAATAAGACAGTGGCACCTTCAGCACTAACTTGTCTTACCGTCCGCAACTAACGTTAACTCACAAAAAAACAAACACCAAATTGATGCTATTAATCCCAGACAAGGAAAAAGTACAACGTAACTGTCGGTAGCGTTCGTGTTTTAACAAAAACCGCTGCAGCAGACACGGCATTAACAGTCTAACTTTTTAGCCTGGCACTCAATAAATTTTCATCAGTCAAACGCCACTTGGCGAAATTTCTTTAAGATCAATACTATTTCAGCAAGAAATATTAATAAACATATAGAAAAACACTTTTAATAGTACGAGTATTTTTCCCTTGAAGAAAAACGATTATATACGCTATTATTTTACAAAGAAGATATATGTATTAAAACTTTCTTCACTTTCTTACCGGTTTCTACCCGAAATATATGTATTGCTTCAAACAAAAATTCTTGAGTTAATATTTTTACAGTATGTTTAAAATAGGGCTTATAAGAATTAGCTCCAGAATATTCTCTGGCTTTCAGGGGGATGTTGCAAAGAATCATTAATTGCAGTGCATACAAAATTATCAGATAATATGTAACATTGTAATATATCCTAAATTATTGTTTATAACAGCTTACAATTTATTTATAACTCTTTCAGTGGAACAAAAGTATCAATTGAGATTTCACAGTACTATGCTATTTACTGTTCTGGTGTGTTCATCCTCTTGTATAGACTGTTTACACAAAATGTTTAACCAAACTTTAATGGCGGATTGTACGTCACAAATTAATACAATAAAATTTTTATAAAGAAGTGAACAGAAACATCTCGTGTTCGAGGTACAGATAATTTAATATTAATGTCTTACATGGGTTATTCCTAGATGCAAAAAAACATGAGTGACATTATGGAAATAACTACTCTAAACGACGACAGCCTCCAAATATTAAGATACTAGCTGATCCGACAGACGTTGTCATGTCCAAATTTCAATAAATTTTGTGATCGTTTTGTGAATTTGTGAAAAGCTATTGGACATGTGTAAACAAAGTAAAAATGAGAAAAAAAAACATATTTCTGAGTGATCGTTGTATCTATTAACGATTGTGGCCAAGGATATTCAATTTGAGGAGGATTCAGCAGTACACCAATGGGAAATTTTACATTCGTTGGGCTGGAATGCGTTTTCCAGATTTCTCTCCAGATCTTCCAATTTTTTTTCAATTAAAAACATTCTATTGATTTATTTCCATCCCAGGAGTATAACGAACAAAATAAAAAGAGAATCAACCAAATATGTCGTTCCTAAATTATTTACATTGAACAAAATTAAAATTGACAGTAATGTGAAACGAACTATATACCGTACAAATTGAAAATAATTTGTATTTTCGAGCAAAATGTTAGGGACTTTGGTTCTGAAGATAGTGGAGTTGAAATGAAAGATGTTATTTATATAATTTATAGGTGCTTTAACTATTAAGTACTATGGAATAGATTAACATAATGATTTGTTGGCTTTATTCATTCTCGAGTGCTTAATAATCACTCATAAAAAATACATACAAATATCTATGCAATAAGTCTCTCACATACCAGTCAGTAAACAATGTTGCTCATTTATTAATAAATTAACTTTTTATGTATTCCTTGTGCAGAAATAACAGTTGTTTAATTGATTTATGAGGTCCACACCTTTGCGTTTTACCTAAGAGATCTGACATGTTTTACATTACGTGTGATTATTTTTAAAAAATATGTCAATAGCTGTTATATCATTTGGAACAATTAATTAAAATCTTTATTTAAACATGGAAAATATTTATATAGTGGTAGTGGCACAAACTTTTTTCTTTGAAGGAATAGATAGGCACCAAGTTTGTTTCTTTCATCGTTCACTGCAAATCTGCATTGGGTGTTTTGCCATAAATCATGACATGAGCCTATCGTTGTTTGTACTTGATCTGCGTAGCGTCGAAATCAAAGTCAATTATTTAACTTAGTGTACGATTTTAAGGATGTTAAATATGTTAGTGTTTTTAGTTCCCGACCATCTTATATAATTCATCAGCTACTATCTTTCCAGCGACATTTTAATACAACTAGGTATTGTGAGGTTATGTTTTGTACATTACGTTGGATCATTTTGTAAAATTTTTTTTATACAAGATGGTAGAAACTTTTCTATACTTCAAATATTGGAGAATTTATGAAAGAAATTCAAGGAAATCGAGTTAAGATGCAGAAAATTACAGAAAATGAAGAGAATAATGTTGTTTAAATCCCAGACATAAAAATTTAGATGAATTACTTAATGACTTACCTTCACTTTTCATGGTGCATAGTACCTGTGGATATAGTTCTAACGGTGAACTAAATACTTGATGCAATTAGAACCGCTAATCAGTGAACAGAACGTGTAGTTTAATTTTAAATCAAGTAAAGCAACTTAAATAAATTGACATTTTCATAATTAAAATAATGCACAAAGCGTGCCAATAGGCGCTAAATAGCGTGCTTGTTACACATGAATTAAGCAGTAAATAATAATTTACCGGACCAACACTGACATATATTTGTACCATAATAATTTAATATTCACTAGTACGTTGCTAACAG